AAGTGCCTCAATCTGCTGCATCTGTGACGAAAACAGTGATTGCATCTGATGTCCATGAGCCTCCATCTGCTGATTGACATGGCCATGCAGCGATTGGTATTGAGAGTCATGACGGGCAGCACTCTCATCGATTTTCTGGTCCAGTTGTCGCTGCCCAGCAGTGAGAGCATTGACTTGCTGCTCCAAAGCGATCAGCCTTGCTTCTTGCTCGCCAGAGCTGTCGACCTCCATGGTGGCCGGAGGAAGCTTGGCAAGGATGGACTGTTCAAGGCGAGACTCAAAGTCTTTCAAGGTCGAATCAGCGGCAGCTGTGGACCGTCCAGTCCCGGCAGCAGGCAGAGGAGACCAGGGGTCATGCAAAATCCATGGATCAACACCGGAGGATCCGGCATCTTTGGAACACAGCTTGACAGTGGCGGCGTTGCCAACAACCTTCGACGGGGCAGGACCACCAGTAGAGGGCTTGTCAGGGACCGTGTTGATGACAATGTCATTGCCTTGGTATCTCACCACAGGATGAGGCGGCGGAGCGCTGGCTTGAATGAGCCAGATGTTGCCTTGGGTGCCTTCAGCAGATCTGGCAGGATGCAAAGGTCTGGCCTGCCATTTCCACCCTCCCAGCAGTTTGCTCAAGGTGAGCCTGTCAAGGCCATATGGCAGCGGACCCACTTCATACAGCTGTTTGGAACCTGCCGCAAGGAAGACTGAGCTGGGTTTCAAGACCTTAGCAAGTTCAGGGGCCTCAGAGGATCTGCATCTGACTCCATGTCTGCTCCCGAGTCTGGCAAGGCCCAGGATTTGGGGATTGCATTGTTGGAGTCTGAGAAGCTCTTCGTGAGGAGTCTTGGTCAGCCACAAGATTTGGAAGTCCAAGGAAGGATCTCTGGCATCGAGAGTTCTGGGTTCGATGTACAGCCCGTTACGACCGGAACAGCCCAAAACTCGGTCCTGAAGGCATTCCAAGAACTTCATGTTGACAAGGAAAATATCCGCAACTTCAGGGGCAACTGGACGAAACGCAGAAGACAACCACTGGCGGCGCCAGACATCAATGACGGGATCGGTCACATGATCAGCAGGGGCAGGGTGCCATTTGGGGCACTGACACGAGGGCGATGACAGGGACGCACTGCAGACGGTCAAGGGCTCAAGCAGAGACAAGACAAACTTGACCGGGCTGTTGACCACTTGAGTCCAGTCGCAGTCAACCGAATCCCGATACAGGGCAAACTTGACGCAGGCAGCGGCTGTGTGCATCAAGGCAGGGACTGATTCACCAGGCTTTTGCATGACTACTTGCTTCCCCAATTGGACTAAGACAGCAGGAGCCAACAGGGGTTCACCGTTTGCATGGCACCGCAAAACCACACGGACAGAGGACCAAGCCAAAGCAGTGGAGAGAGCGGAATCATCTGCGTTCAGAAGCAGCAAGGCGAGGGGGCCTTGAGATACCAACTGACCAGCTTTCAAGTAGGCACTCGACTCTTCGGCAGTGGAGAGAACAACTCCTGCAGCAATGGGGCCAATGTCGGTCATCTGCAGCTGCGGCAATTCACCATCATCAGGGCCAACAAAGGAAGCTTCCTCAATGGCCAGCTTGGCAGGATCAAGAGCAGGGGGCGCTTCAGCCTTAGGGCTGGGCTTGGATTGGGCCGCAGGCTTCTTTCTTTTGGAGCGCATTCCACCTTGGTCTGCTTTGGATTTAACAACCTGTTCCAACTCAGCAGGCAAAACCAACTGGAACGCAGGACGACAACCATTGGCAGCCTGTTTCAGAGAACGCCAAGGCTGGCCACCAGTAAGAGCACGTTGAGCCGTGGCAAGTCCAATCGCCTGAACCAACAAGTGGGACCTGTTTTTGACCTGGCTGGCTTCAACTCCATGTTCAAGAAGCAAGGAGTGCGATCTCTCAGCAGCTTTGGCATCAAGACCAGCTCCCCAAATCCAAGGACGGGGGACCTCAGCTGTGGATTCCAAGTAGGCAACAAACAGGGATCTGCCAACGGAGTGCAAATACTGGGCCTCGGCAAGGTCAGTAGGCAACATTTTTCCTCTGATCATGTGATCAAGGAAACTCAGTGCACACAAACCACAGAAGGAGTCAACCGCAAACTTCCGATGGACCACATGAACAGTGTGCGTGCGAGCACCCACAGCCAAGGCAAGAGACGTGTGGAGCATGGAAATTTCATGCGCAGGAGAACCCGGGACGTCCCAGCTGGAGGCAATCATGCAATGAGGTGTCCAAGTCCAAATGAAGGGAGTCCAGTGACCTTGAGCCATGACAACACCAAGAATGGCAGTAGGCTTGACAGGAAGATCACGGAGCCAGGCAGCAAGGAGACCACTACTCGGACGCTTCATCGCTTCGGCTGCAATCAAGGGATCAAGCAGAACCCACGTCGGTTTGTTGGCCACAGCAAGCATTTGGTTGAGATGCCAGAGCAACTCATCATCCGACCACAGGGTCGTCTGGTTGGCCCTCGGCAGACATGGTTTGACGACGCAAAGCAGACAGGGTAGCAACATCGTGGACCGACGGGACAGGGACAGAAGCAAGGCTTGCTGAATCCAACGCAGACAAAGGCTCAAGTCGAGACGACAGAACACCCGAAGCAACAGGCGCATCAGGCAAACCCTCAGGGACAGATGCGGCCTCACACAAACCAGCCATGACGGGAGGAGCAGTCAAACCTGAGTCCAACGGTTGAACAGTAGAGACATGCATGGGCTCAACATGACCTTCGTGCATCAACCACAGACAAAGTCCAGCAGCTGGATGGTCATCACCAACTTTGAGACCAGACTGACAGTCCAGAACCTTGTAAGGCACCCGGGAAGCACCATCAAGCTCGAGCCAACCAGCGACCACACCAGAGACGGTGTCGGCAGGATCAGACAAGCGGACAAGGAAAGGGGTAGGGTCATCCGCAAGCACAACAGTAACCTCGTCAGCGCTGCCAACATGGATGAACTTGGACCAAGGTGCAGACGCCGGATCATCGAGGGGCAAGTCCATGGTGACGACAGGCGGCTCAGGGAGCTCAACATGCGGGACAGGCTCAAACTCCAACTGAGTGGCAAGATCTTGCACTTGTCCTCGAAGCATGTCAAGAAGGTGACCAGGGTCAATTTGGCTGGTGCCAGTGAAGACACGATCAACATGCTGCTGTAGGAAAGCCCCGACCCAGACAGTATGGAGAGGACTGCACATTTGACCAAGTCCAGCAAGAACCAGTCGCAAATCGTCAGGCCACACCAGTTCAGGAACACCATTCAACAAGCCAACCTCCAGTGGATGGGGATGACGGACACGCAAGTGATCAGGGGAGTGACCAGGGCCGGGCACAGGCAACAAAAGAGCGAACAAGCCACGCGATGACAAAGTATCATGTGAAAAGCCGCTGGACCTGCAAAGGCAGTGGCAGGCAGACACTTGCGAACCCCACGAATGCAACGCTGTTGGTGCTTGGACATCTTTTTTGAGCAGGAGGCGTGCCAGGTTCGGCTCATAAGTCAAAAATTGGTCAAGTTCATCGCCAGTGAGCTCAAGTTGCTGCAAAGTGGACGCAGACAAGACCAACGGACTCGGCAGGACAAGACTTGGCAAGGCCGGATGCATCGGATGCTCGAATGCTGGCAACGGCACGGCACCGAGAAACGCAGCTGAGAGGATGGCCCACCACCTTGTTCGGCGTGAGCACCAAACATCCTCCAGCTTCAAAACTACCTCAGTCAAATGGTAACCACATTGGGTTCGAAACTGATCAAGCTGCTTCCTAACCATTGCATTTGTACCTGCATCCTGTACACACTCTAAAATGATGACTGGGCTACGCAACATGAATCCAGCGTGCAACGATTTTGCCAGCGTACTTGAACGGTCATCAAGGGCCCCAAGCTGACGACCACCTGTCGAAAACGGCTGGCATGAGAACCCACTCATCAATACTGCCGGTCTGCTGTGAACCTGGTGAAGCTTCTTGATGACACTCGCATCACCAATGTCTCCTGTGATAACCGGTGTACCTGGATGGACCTCCGCAAAGGCAGCTGTAAAAGGCTCTGACCAGTCACAACCAGCAACCATGTTCATACCAGCAGCATGGAAACCCATGGCACCAATGCCCAGTCCACAACATAGTTCGATGAAATTCCAGAGATCTTCACGATTCCCTCTCTGATGAAACAAAACCGAGGAAGGGTCATCCACCAGAAAAACCAATGGGTCCTTTTCGATCAAAGCAGCCCCAAAAATGGTCAGAAAAGAACACACCGGGGGAATGCTAAGTCTGCCCATGATCTTCGCCTTGGAGCCACAAGGGAAGAGAGACACCAAGGTACAATCTTCCATGGCACAGGTGACCTCGGCGGCCAGGTCCCCAGCAGTGCCCACCTCGGCCATGGGATCCCGAACCCAAGATTTGGTGACGCCTTCAGCGCCCCAAAGTGACATTGCACTACGGAGCTTAGCGATCAGGCCCACCCGACGCTCGGCTTGCGCAGCTCTCCCAGCTGGCAGGGGGTCGGGCCACAGAGCTTAAATAAAAAATGTTCCAAACCACCAACCAGTATATATATATATATGTGTGTGTGTGATGATGTGATATTCCAATTCCATCCAATTCCAATCCATAACTTGAATATGATGTAAACTGGTTTTCCAAGTTCATGGCATGAATTCAGCAAGACTTATATAAGACTTGATGTCTAGAGTCTATCACAATGTGTATATAATTTAGATATAGTCAACATTAAAAAGTAATTTATGATGTAGATAGATATGCAGATATGCATATAATCATTCGCCTTAGGTGATGTCTATCAACGGGAAATAAGCTCGCTATTTGCCCTGTTCAATGGCCTGCTTTTCAGGTGGCAATGCCATGTCATTGGTGCGAATGGTGCTTGAAAATGTGCTATCGGTGAACAAAAAGTCGATCCAAAAATGCACCATCTGAGTCGTGCTTTTTTCGGAATCGTTTCAGATCGACTCCGACCTGGTCACTAAAGGGAGAGCCCAAGAAGCTCTTGTCGAAGAGAATGGTGACAAACATCACCTTGACGGCGTGAAAAAAGGACTGGGTGTACCTTTGATATCCTTTGATTAGTGGCCCAAACTCGATGTCACATTCTTGGGGATGGATTTCCATATTATCAAACCATGTTGACACATCAACTGCTTGCTGTTCCAATCCCAAAATGGACCGAAGCTCAATGCCCTGGGCTCAGCATTTTGTTTCAGCCAAGGCACTTGCATCACAATGTTGCAGCAGAGCAGCGTAATGGAAAAAAGCAGATCCATCTTGCCACAATCTGCCAATCCCACGACTGCCGGAAGGCTCCAAGCACTCTCACACAGCCTCGCCGCTTTTGCTGCATCGAGAGTCTGGGCAAGACGTGAAGCATTTCCCAGGTTGAACCAAGAAAGTTGATTTTTCCGGGTAGTTTTTTGCAGAAAACCATGGTCCTACTAATCCGAGCTCATTGTGCCAATTTCTGGCCCTGTTTTCGTCGCTCCCTCCGTCGAGAGACTTGATCTCCTTCTCCTCGGCATCCATGGGCTTTGCCTCCGACATCATAACCTCCTGCGCCGAAACCCTCCAGGTGGCACAGCAACTGCAACTGTTTATTTTGATATGAAGCAATGGGGGCCAAATTCGGAGTTATGCGATATTATTTGCAAAAGTTGGTTCGGTAAGTGAAACTTATATGACAAATATATATATATACATATATAAATTGTAACTTGCACTTGCACGTGGTTTGTGGCTGGAACTGGGTTTATTCACTTGCTTGGCGTCTGAGCAGGCCAAATTGTATCAGAAAATGAAGGAGAAAAAACGATGCTTTCCCCGATGTTGAATGCCTCTGCGAAAGAATTCACGACGGGACACCGAGACTATATGAGTCTCGAGTCTCGCAGCATCCATCGGCGATAGATGTTGCGGCAACCTTGAAGATACCTCTGGATTTCATTCAATACAGTCCATTTTCAGTCACTAGTAGAATTGTGACCCACAAAAAGAGGCAGAAAGGGGTGTTGGCAGCACAAAAACAAAAAGAAAGGCACAGCACCAAGGGCCCAATTTCATCTCAAACACTCATTCTAGTGTGTGTGTGTGTGTGCTTCTTGGATATTTATTTCAAATACCGGATCTTTCATGTCATGTGGTGGTTTTCCTCTAGAATTGATTGAGATCTATATAAATCACGATGACACAAATGTCAAAAAAATAGAAGGATAGATCAATAGTTTCTCTCTACCTATCTGGAACAGGAGTTCATGCGGAGTGGGGAAACTGCAGGCGAACATGCGTCCATACGAGGAATCATACTGCCCCATTCTTGATGGCTTCATAATCGAAGCAGAGCTTAGAAGAGACCCCCTTTCTGATGCAAATTGATGGTTGTAAGTTATAAACTTACATACTACCATTTGTTTGATGCAAGTCGATGCTTATAAGTTGGGATATCCCTTTTTGCACGAAGAGGGGGCACCAGCAGAGGGCACCAAAAAATATGGCAAAAGCTGTGTTGGCTCCAAATGAACATGCCCAACACTGAAGGCACTGACAAGTTTCCCCCTACATCTTTGAGCTGCCTTACACACATCCACCAAGGAACAAAATGAACAAAACATGTTGTTTAAAGGTGGTGTTGTGGCACAACTATAAGAAGATACATTGCAAGATACTGTAAGATATCGGGTTTGCTTTGGTGCCTACTGGGGGCTTGGGGGGAGGGGAGGCTGGCCCAGACCTTGAAACTAAATTTGTAGCCAGAGTTGTGCTCCAAGAAGAACTGTTCAAAACCGAGACGGTTTCCAAGGATTTTTGCTGGTGCAAATTTTGTGCTAGTCTGGTGTGTTTTTTTCCTGGTGCTTTTGTTTGGTGTTTTCTTCAAAATGGTGCTCCTAGCTGGTGCAAAAGTTGTGTTCATGTGGTGCTCATAGTTGGTGCAAAATGTGTGCTCAGGTGTTTTTTTTCTCTTAAAAATGGTGCTCATAGCCGGTGCAAAATTTGCTCATGTTGCCGCAGCAGCCCAGTCGAGAGGGAAAATGACTTGGCTGGTTGGCTCAAACATTGGTGTTTCTCTGGTGTTGTTTGGGGCAAAACTGTGGTCAACTGGTGCAAAATTTGTCTGGTTGGTGGTTTCAACCCCTCTGAAAAATATTAGTCAGTTGGGATGATTATTCCCAATATATGGAAAAAATAAAAAATGTTCCAAACCACCAACCAGTTGTGTTCATCTGATATTGTTTTTTTCAAAATTGCGCTCGTAGCTGGTGCAAAGGGAGGGCTGGAGGTGGAATGTGTGGAGGATGTGAGGTGCTGTGGAGTGGAAGGGTGGTGTGGCACAGGGTGAATTAGTGAAGAGGTTGGCACAAGATTGGTCAAAGAGAAAAACATTGACCACAGCAGCCGTTTATGCAGACCATTTTAAGGTGTCATTTCTGGTGTTTTTCGAATAGGTGTTTAAACATAAAACCATTTTTGAACTGTTACTGGGCAGGGGGCTAGCCGCTAGCCCACCTTAAAAGTTATAACCCCCGTAGTTTTTTGGATTCAAATGGCAGTGGTGTACCGGGATCAAACGGCTCCTCTGGCTCTTTACGCTCTTTCGGCGCCACATCCACTGCGACCCCGGGCCCTGGGGCCCAATCGGTTTGGTGGTGACCAAAACTTTTCCACTCAGCAAAGTAACTTGTTGAAACGCAAGAATTGTTGCTGGCAGAAAGCGACTACCCTCCAATAGATTAACATAGTTGTCTAAAAATCATTTTCCTATAGAGTAAGCTGTGGATTTCCATATCTATTTTAGTTTTCAAATGGGTAATCACTTGTGTCAGTGGTTCTCTTCACGATTTCCCATCGCATGAATTCTGCACCTGCTTGGTCGGCACCAGCCACCCGCAACTCTAGACTGTTCAATCTCAAGGTCAGCTGCTGAATCTCCTGGAGTCTCAACTGCCAAGATTTTTGCTGCTTCACCCCAGTTGCTGGCTTATAACCCCAGCTATACGTTGGCTAAGTAGGTTTAACCCAATTATAAAATCTTACTAAATCCCAGTAAACCACCATACTTGAGGTTATAACCCATTTACGATTCCAAGATTCCCATTTTGACTGGTTTCAATTCCAAATTCTACTCGGGAAATCTGCGTTACTTGTCGCACTGCCCATCACTTGTAGCCAATAAATCTCAAGAAAGCCTTCACACTCTGGCCTTTATCCAGGTTGATATCAAAGCAAGGCCTCAGAGAAGTTAAGATTTGCTTACGTTTAAAAAAACCTCCCATGTCCAATTTCACTGGAGAATAAAAACCGGTAAATTGGTATCCCATTTGTCCAAGTGGTGATACCCTCTGGTAAACTAACATAACTATGGAAAATCACAATTTTTAATGGGTAAATCCACCACAAATGGTCCATTTTCAATAGCTACGTTAAATTACCAGAGGGTAACCCCCAGAAATGTATAGATCTTCTCCCTCCTGTCGTAGCTCGAAAATTTCGGTCATGGCTTCGCCATTGTCTTGTGCCACTTGGGCCATGGGCACACAGGGAGCGTTATTGGGACCAAATCCACGCAATGTCAGGCCAAAACACGATGATGAGTGCTGAATGAATTCCAGCTGTAAAACAACACCTTTTGCCGATATGCCGAAAAGAATTGCAAGACAACCATGAAAGCGAATGTGCGCAAGTTACTGTGAGCCAAAAGATGTTTTTGTTGCCATGTCAGCAGGTTGTTTGTTCCCTGCGAGAAACTGACCAACAAATGAAGGGCAAATGAATCAAATAAGAATATCCACATGAAATGAAACAAACATACGGGGAAGATCCCAAATGAACGAGAAGATGGGTGATGATTGGGTAGTTATAATATATATATATATGCACATTGCTATTGAGGAATCCAATACAGCAACCCATGTTCTTAATTGAGGTGTCCAACCCACCGTCCGATAGCAAGCCAATCTTATATTGCTTGACCGGGCCAAGCAACCATAACAAAGTGCCCCCTGTCAATTCATGAAATTCATTTGTCTATATTTATCTGACGTAGGTACGGGACACCAGTTGATTTTGTTCAACCGAATCACCAGTGATTAATGATAAGTCGAGCATCGCCCATGGCCCCCTATGTATTCATGAAACACACCAAAGTGGATACATGGTTGTTGGTCAATGCCCGGTACCCCTCCTGTTCACATCCCCAACCAAACTCTTCTGGCTCTTGGGATGTTCATCCTGGTTCTTGGATGGTTAACTGCTTGACCCAGCTCGCTGCGTATAGAACTAGTATATCCCCTACTCAACTGTTGTACAGTAATCCCCAGCGTTATGAACCATTCACCAGCAGTTGTTAACCATTGGTTGGTTACTTTGACCCACAGCCACATGTTGGCGGTGAGCCCGCTCGCATGGCGCTGGGATCGAGCTATTACCCGGAAGCTCCATAGGTCTTGCAGCGATTAGCTTTTGGGCGACCCAAGAGTCACTCATCCACAAGCTTTGGAATCAACAATTCCTGTATCATAGGTCACTTTCCGCCGCAAACCCGAAAAAAATGGGGGGTGGTTTCTGATTGAACTTTGCCGTGCCGTTGTCAAGGAGCCAATCCGGTGCTTTCAATTTTTTTTAGCTGGGGGTACCCCCAAATCATCCAACATCAATCAATTCTAGTAACTCTAGTAATAAACCATCCATTTTTTGGGGGTCCAAATCTTAAGAAACCCCCATGGATAGCACTGATACATTCGTGTGTTGTCAGTTTGGGGGACATCGTCGCAAAACTCACCATTTGCTATGAAGATACGATGATGAATTGATCGTTGGGGGCCCTTGTTTTTTTTCGCCACAAGAACTTCCGGATAGCTCAGAAACTTCGAAGTCGTGAAACCTCCACGGCTGCTCTCACCAGTGTGGAAGCTGTATATTGGCCTCTCCAGTTAGAGGTTTAGGGATGACGAATCTCCAAACAGCTTCAGCCATGCACCTACCACGATCAATGGGACAGCCTTCGGGAGTGCAGAAAAGGGATGGGTCACATTTTCCAACAATTCGGCATTGGGACCCAAGGCTCCCGTGACTGAACGACCACAAGCAGGTCGCGGGTGTGGATCACCTAACTGTGGCCTTTGACCGAATCGTGAAGAGACCACGGTTAGGCAATCCAAGGTTGCTGAGAAAATGCAAGAGCTTTATAGGAAGAAGACACCTCGGGACAAGTTTGGGAAAACGTTACTGTCTTACTTATGATTTATAGTAGAATACTTTCATTAGTGTCTTAAAATGATTGCAGTCGTTTCAAGAGAAACCAGAAAATTTGATCATCCATGCACTCCAGGATCCGGTCATTTGAGGCCTGATGAGTATAAAACTACCGGCCAGCATTTTTATATTCACGTTGTTTGTTTTTAATCACACTTAAGATCATGAATCCTGAACCTCAAAAAAAACACCAATATTTCAGCTGCACCATCTACAAACACACTCGGATCATGGAAAAAAGAGAAGGAAGAGAAATAGAGAGAGAGAGAGAGGGAGGATTTTTTTTGTTTATAATGTATGTGTATATATATATATATCGGCAAATGCCTGGGTTTTGCCCGGACCCGCAATGACGACGGGCGACGCATCATCATCATCATCATCATCATCATCATCATCACCATCATCATCATCATCATCATCATCATCATCATTACGGGGGTGGGAGTTTAATATTCCCTAATATCTTTGTTGATCTTCCCAATTGCATGTAAAGTTTATCGGGGGTGGGAGTTTAATATTCCCTAATATCTTTGTTGATCTTCCCAATTGCATGTAAAGTTTAACCGGGGTGGGAGTTTAATATTCCCTAATATCCTTGTTGATCTTCCCAATTGAATGTAAAGTTTAACGTGGGTGGGAGTTTAATATTCCCTAATATCTTTGTTGATCTTCCCAGTTGCATGTAAAGTTTAACGGGGGTGGGAGTTTAATATTCCCTAATATCCTTGTTGATCTTCCCAATTGCATGTAAAGTTTAACGGGGGTGGGAGTTTAATATTCCCTAATATCCTTGTTGATCTTCCGAATTGAATATAAAGTTTAACTGGGGTGCGAGTTTAATATTCCCTAATGTTGCGAAAAAGTACCATGATGAGCATCAAAAATCATGAAAATCACTGGGATCAATGGATGGGCACCCCTCGAATTGGCTATCTATCATGGGTTTTAAGTTTCAATTGCCCATGATGTGTGACTGTGAAAACCTATTGCAGGCACTCTGAAAATGTGCTTATTCTCTCACTGTGATGCCTTCACCATGAAGCAATGTCGGATGCAGAACTGTTTTCTTCCGAGATGGTCCGCGGCTGGAGCTGCAAACTGCGCCGTGCGAAGGTATAAGAACGGGAAAGTCGACATGAAAGGTGTGTTCAGTGTCAGTGTTGTCCATTGAAATGTTGATAGTGACATAGTGACAACAGGAGCATCCCTTGACAAGGCGTTGGCTGAGCGGACGACAACTTCCGGTCGTGTACGACTTCACTTTCCATCGCCCAACAAGCAAACAATATCAAACAGTTGTAGCAATGGGATGCAATGAAAATCCGTCGAAAATCTTTTGTTTATGGGTTTGATTTGTTCCAGAAGAATTTGGATCTTGCCGGCCTGCCATATTGGTTTACCAGAAGGCGCCGGGGTACTTTCAGGTGTTCTTACATTTCTTACTGTACATGAACTGCCTATCAAAGACATTCCTAACATTCCAGCCAGATCCACCAACGCTCTGCATTAACCAAGGCGTGTTCGCACATCTCTTTTCAGCTGCCTCTAATTTCGGAAGATCCCCAAGCGCGCGACAGATTCAGCAATCTTATCAGCAACGCCTCTGGCGTTGGTCATCTGCCGATCTTCTGCGAATACGAGGCTTTTCTTGAACACAAATTTATTTTGGCAAGTGCCTCGTTCGTTGTTCTGTGGTGCTGGTGGCCACTGGTCGCATAGCCTGATGGGAAACAAGGGCAACTGATTCTGGTGAGCGAACTCGAGTTCATAGAACGTTTCATAGCCCACACCAGTATAAGCACCGTACTCTGAGGTGCAGAAAGCTACCATGCCTTTGGCACAGTACAATCCTTCCCATGTCATTTGGCCAAAATCTTGGCCAGTTGACGCATCGACCATGAATACAGGGACATTTCTGGTATCCAGCTGACTCTTCACTTCCTTCATGTACGCGACAATCCTCAGCCGTCGATCCCATGGCGGTGTTGCGCATTCACCTTCGAACAACTGTCCAAGGCAGGTCCGATTTAACCCCAAAAATATCCAAAAATCATGTCATATCTGCTGATCATATCTGATCCTTCTCCCGTGTCTCAGACGAGAATCGCATCACTGTTGAAGCGTCCGCTGAGCATTAAATGCCCTCGATCTGTCGATGCCACCACCACCTCAGAATCGGCAGCTTGGAAAGCATCAAACACAAAGAAACCCTGGTCGGTCTTAAATATCACTGAAAGACAAAGAACTCAAAGGACCACGTACACAAGATCCATCAAGGTCCCATGGAAGGATCAAAACCAAAGTTGCTGCCCTTGCCTGAATACAAATACTAAAAGGACACAACTTTGACTCCATATGTCCGTCTTCAAAAAGGTTGTACTTCAATGCATTTCAACATCTTCAAAATATGTCCAAATCGCACCAAGTCGTACTTCAATGCACTTCAAAATCTCCAAAGTGTGTCGGCGTGAACGATTTTCAGGGTCGGGCCGAAACTGGCTGCGTGTACGTGGCAACGGCCTTGAAGTTGGCCCTTCGTCTGCAGATTCCGCAGGGTCTCCGTGGCGCTGGTCCAGTGGGTGCCGGTGCTGCCTGGCGGCTGACGGGTCGCGCGGGGGGTCTGGTGCCTTCGGGGGGTTGGAATGGGCGGGTTCTGACTTGCCGTTTTTCGGGCTGGTCTGTGCTGGGAAGGGTTGAAAAAGTGTGCACTCCCCGGATCTAGCATGGAGCTGCATGCTGTTCCTGGGGTCCACTAACATGGGCCTGGTTTTTTTGCTGGGATCGTTCCGGGACTGGCATGGGACCCAATACGGGCCCAAACTGAACCCGGACTGGGTGATTTGAAGTTTAACCTGGAACCCAAGTGGTTTTTAAGGCGTGGTTCTTGCAAATTCCATGTTAGTCTTGCGGGCGACGGAATGAACAAATCCAACCAAAGAAAAAGGTGAAAACCTGGGCATTCTACGTGATTCTACCTGGAGATCCTTCATTCCCTTCAAAGAAACTATTCAGGTTCCAGGTCTGTGGTGTTACTTATTGTTCGATATGTGTTGGGTTCCATGTTCGTCGCACAACCTTCAAAGTAAGCCGCACCGGGCAGAAAACCTGACAGCGAGGAGGAAAAAAGCCAGCGACATGAAAGGACAACAAATATCAGCAAACTAAGGAAGAGATGGAACGAGCAACAAGAAGCAAAAGAAAGACACATGTGACAATTTGATGGTGACCTTGCTGGAGCTGGTGCCCCCAAGAGTTAAACTCGTTGGGTTCCCTTTTGGTTTCTGTTGTGGGTTCGACGACCACTCCCGGGGGACACGCGGGTTGGGGGAGGAGAGCCTGAGCAGGGGGAGCATACGGGGAGACAAAATATGGCCACCAATCCAGATTCAGCCCAAAAACGTCCAAATGGCACATTTTCTCCTTTACCAAGCGTAAAGGAAAACTAGGATCCTTAAATCCATTCAAATCCCGTTTGTTTTTTGACTTGTTGTTTTTTCTGCTGCTCCCTTTCCCCCGATGAAATGTCCATTCAGGTTCCAAGTTCGTTTTCGGGTTCCTGGAGTCCACGCTATGCAAAAAAAAAACACCAGTCCAAATTCAACCCAAACAATGATAAAACGAAGAAACAGCTGGAGAATGCTGGGGAAACATCGCCAAACGCAACTAGACCTAAGAAAAACTAGGGCTGAGTGGCCCAACATGCTCCAAAATATGCTTCCCAATCCCAGGGGAGAGAGATTCCTTTTTAATGTTTTAAGGATTTTTTGTTGGTGCCAGGCACATAGGTGAAAATGAAAGGTTCTTTCATGATAAGCTTCAAGTTATGTTTTTCTATATCGGTTGGGTTCCATGTTGGTTTCCAGCTTCCAGGGTATGGGAGAGATCACCATGGGAAAGTACCACGGGGTCCATGGTGGGTTCCGTGTAAGGTCCGTGTAAGGTCCGTGTTATATAGTTGGCACTCTTTTCGAAAAAAGTCAGCTAAACGTTTAGTTTTGGACATACTATATATTCAAATTAAAACATAGACATAACAAAAAACAATACAACATATAGAAAATTAGTTTATCATGTTACAGAAGCAGCTTTTTCCCATTTACCCACCAATAAAATGAAACATTGGTGAAAATGAAAAGGTTCTTTCATGATGTTGGTTTCCAGCTTCCAGGGTACGGAAAAGATCACCATGGGAAAGTACCACGGGGTCCATGATGGATGTAAGGTCCGTGTTATCGGCGACCCGGGGGTTCCATGTTGGTTTGTTTCAGGGGGGCTCGGCCTCGGGGTAACACAACGGGAAGGCCAAAATGAGAAATGTCACGTTTATGGTGGCTAAATATGAAAAAGCTGCTTCTGCAACATGATAAATTTTGAATATAGGTTTTTATGTGTTTGTTTACTCTTTATGTTTTGAAAATGTTTTCGGTGTGTTTTTAAACATGTGTTGAGGGATGTTGAGGGTATGTTTTGTGTATGTTTTTTGACATGTACTGTATGTGTTTGAAACTGTCTTCAGAATTTGTGCATTGGAATTCATCTTGGTCAAAATGATTCATTGACAAAAGAGCTGTTATGCGGCATCTTGCATCCATCAATCACTATAAAGGGAATAATGCTTCCGAATTCCCCGTGTCAACTGCCATGGCCAACATGGAACTTCTTGATGAGCATTCAAGGGCAGCTTGTGGGGTTCTATGTTAGTATGACAGAAAATGTCCAAATTCACCAGCACCAACATGGCACCTACCTGGCACTTATCCCGCTCATGAATTTTAACATGGGTGCGCTAACATAGAACCCATTTTCTTTGTACAACGTTAGGTTTCGGGAGAGTAAATGCACTTGGACTTTGGAAGTTCCACCCATTGGAATGAAGTGCCACCCAATTGACCACAAATGTTGCAACGTTTTGCTGGTTTTACTTCCCATCTACATTTTTTTGGGTGGTGCTATACAAATCTATACAATTTCTTTGGATCCATCTGCAAGGTCCTGAGCTCCTTACTGATGATTCCATGTTACCGGTCAAGGCAGCTGACGATGCCTGGCAACATGGCACGTGTGTTGCATGCAGTGCTAAAACAGATCTGTGGCAAGGGGAATGGAGATGCATCAGGAGATGGATCAAGGATGATCAGGGGATCTGAAGGTTGCAGAGGCACCATTGCGAGTTGATCTTGAATGATCTCCTGAATGCACGTCACTTGAAATTTGAATATTCCCAATCAGTACATGTTGGGTAAACAGATGCAGGGTCAGCGCAACCCTCCAGCAATCCCAGCAATGCCTCCGCAGATCCAGCTGAATGCGGCTTAAGTCCAGGCCCTGCAGTTGCAGCTGTTGCGGCTGTTGCAGCTGTTGCAGCTGTTGCCTCTTCTGGCCGGATCTTAAAGCAGTGGTTCACGCCCTCGATCTCCACATCAAAGTGTTGCCGGGACTGGGCATCCAGCTCACAGGACATCAGCGGCATGCGGTGGAACCGGATTTTCATCTTTGATGTTCGGCCAGGCTGCTTGATTTCGAGGTCTTCATCATGGCGAAAGGTTCCCAGCTGAAGGTTGGGAGAACATCTCCGGAAGTGTTGCAGCATATCTGGGTCTGAGCAAAGCAGCTCCAAGCCGTCCTCGCATGACTCGCAGCCTATGTGCATTACGACCACCTGTGCGTTCTCACCGCGCGGATGGAGGAATCCAAGCCCCTTGAGTGGACGACACTTCCCAGTGATGACAAGCTCGCAAAAGTGGTCCAGTTCCACCGTTGTTCGGGTCTCCTCGAAAGAGGCGGTTTCCAGTTTCTCCCATCCAGCTGTCGTTGATCTCCACAAGATTTCGGCACCAGCACAGGTCGGCACCTCCACCTGGCCCCCACAACAGAAGGAAAAATGTGTCAAGGCTCGTTTCGGTGTTTCTGCTGGTGCCCAACCCAAGTCGATTCTTCGCAAAGCAGGGTAAACGACACTGGTTTTGGTACCAAATGATTACAAATGCATTATCTTTCTCCACTAGCACTAGCAATAATTGCTGCAAAGTTTGCTGTCAACATGCTGTCTTGCAAGAAGAACAAGGTTGGGTTGCTCTTTCAGCAGTTTTCGCAGCCGGACAATGCCGGACAACGGAAAAGCTGAGCCTTGGACCTTTGTGTGGTTCACAATTTTTGGGCCCCCTCTCCCAGCCTGCACCGGTGTTGGAAAGGGTCGATCTTCCGGAGTGAGCCGGAGGAGTCGAGCCAGGGGCACGTGGCCAGCAGGCAGTGCCTGAGCTTGTCGAAATTCATTGCGACAGAATGCAAACAATTCTGTGGAACATGTTAATATGTGCTATGTGGATATTTACGTTTAAGTTCATATTTGTACATATACACATTTAATCATGTCTTGTTTATACACAAGCGTGCATGACACGATCATAGGATGCAACCAGTATTTGATCAAGATCTTGCCTTGCAAGACTTCCCACCTCTCAATGTGCTTCCCGCCACCTGCCTAGGGAATGTATCTGTCCACCGGTCTCAAGGCTCAGATGCAAAGGAAGATGATGGTTGGCAGTTGCTAGACAAGATGCCTGCTCCAGGACTGAGACGTTCTTCAAGTCGCTCCAGTTTTCCAGCACGTCCATCTTTATGTTAAACTCGGTAAAGATGGACTGCTGCGCCATCAGGCGAATGCCGTGCCCGAAGTCCTTGATTTCGAAGCTGTCCTATCCGATCCCATCTGTTTTTCCCCCTCAAGTCGCTCTGCAACAACGATCCGCAAGGTTTGTTGTTTGCTGCAAACAAAGAGCCGCCTTGCCAGCAATTCTTGAGACTTTTGTAACGTAGGATGAAGAAACACGAAAATAATTGAAATCTTCAGAACTCTTTAATCCAGACTCTCCGACTGAAAATGCGGACACTGATGAAACATGATGAAACAAATGAAGATTCGTGAATACGAATGAATATTTGAAGCTGCCAAGGGCTTTATCCCGTCCTCAGGCATAGCTTGAGAAGGCGCCTTGGGTTGAGACACCGGGACTTCGAATGCAGCTTCCAGCTGCGGACCCTGTCTGCTTGGGGGTGACCCTTATGGCATTATGGCAGTATACATCAATACCTACAAACTCCTCTGGGCAGAAAAAAGTGCCTAACCTGCCTGTAGGCGTTTATTTCTGCCGATTCCCAGAATAAATGCCTAGGCCCCAAAAAAATGCCGAGGCTGATAATTTTTTGTATGGTCTTGTCATGTTGTTCAGTGCAGAAAAATGTTTCGAACAAAATTCTGCCTAATTCCGCTTTTTTCCGCCTAGATTCCGGGTTTTTCCGCCTAACTTCCGGGTAAAAATGCCTAGGCACAAAATGATGTCGGAGCACAAAAAACATCTTGAGATAAAAATGCCTACATCAATATAAATCTGCCGAGTTTTGCAAATTTCCGGGTGAAAGTGCCTATGCGGCTGCCTAGGCGCCGAGGGCAGAAAAAAGTGCCTAAGGGTTCTTCTAGGTATACCATTATATAATTATATTATATATATACCGTATATTATACCATAATATATACCATGAAATATATATATATATATTAAAATAAGTATAAAATGCCATAATATACCAGACATTACCAAACTATAACCCAGGTGTTCACTGGAATTGCACCCCCAAGTAGCACCTCTGCCCCCCAGGCGGCCTGTGCTTCAGGATGTGCCTCTTCAATTTCATCTTCCTAAGAAAGACGCCAAGTCCAAATGAGACAGAGAGAAGAAGACTTGAATTCGGGAGTGGAGAACACCTGGCACAGAATTAACGAACCCGTGGGACAAATGACATCATGACATCGTGCTGAAGTTGGCTTCATGGTGGATGTGAACACTCATCCATATTGTCTGGCAAAAGGCATTCTGCCGTTGTTTTTTTTGGCTTGCTACTGCTACTACTGTCTCAAGCACTCGTGCCGATTTCCCCGCATCACCGTCGCAAGTCATGTTGCAGCTGCTGCTGCCAAGGCACTGAAATCACGGCGGTCAATGTATTGCCCGGCACAATGTGCGCTGCAGCAAGCTCCATGCGTTCATCCCTGGGCACAGACCGCCATAAACCAATTCAGCAACTGATGTCACAGAAGTTACTGGTGGCAAGGAATATTAACCCAGCTTTACACCCAGCAGCTGAGTAGGCAACAAAAAAAGTCTTCGTGCAGGGTTTTTTCCTTCAAACTCGCAAGAGTTTTCCTTAAAATATCAGGCCAATCAACTATACACACCGGCAATGTAAAAACAAGCCAATGATATGAAGAGGCCTACCACCAATACCCAACAAGATTGCTTCCCACGTAAGACAGGATTATACAATTTCCATCAGCTGGGCAGAAGGGTCAAAAAGTTCTGTGCAGCCAAGTAGCAATGGCTCGTGGTTTTGTCCAATGATGTGTTTAATCTTGACGCCGAGCTTTTTCCTCGGATCCACTGGACAGGGTGTGCAGCAGGCATCAACAGGCTGCAGTCAGATGAACCCCGAAATGCCCCTTCTGTGACAGAGACTTGCAACCAGCATCAGGGAAGCGATGCACGTCACAGGTGCCTGGAACCAAATCACCAATTTAGCTCTGAGCGCATCATATGAAACAAACCGTGAAAAGATATAATATAAAGATCATAGGCAGAATTTCAGATCTTGACTTCGGAATCTGGATGAGATGACTCATTGTTTGTGGAAAAGACAAGTACCAAGCGTGTACCAACTGTGGCGCTTGCTACTTTGCATGAGGTCTTCCATGATTTGGAGGTCTAAGTTTCGTTTCAAGATTGTGATTTGAAGAGGGTCTGACAAATACTCCATGCATTCAAAATGCTCCTCTCAAATTATGATCCCAACCTGCGACCTGCACCCAACCTGCACAACTGTCGTTGTCAGAAACGAACTGCTGTTGCCATCTGTTGCCGACGTCAACTGAGCTGTTGCCCTGTAGCAGTCATCCCGGAGTTCATCTCTGTGCCAAGGCACTCCGCTTCTTCCTTCAACTCCAACACAGTGCGGTCCTGTGAAGGATCGCCTCAGTTCGGTTGGGTTTGATCCAATCTTCACGGATGGACAACACGGATGCACAAGTGAGTGGACTGCTGACTCCATCAATGTAGCGCCTCAACACGAAACATGTCATGGGGTGGGATGAAGATGCAAGTCGCGCATCTTGGCAGACCAATTCGTTTGAGAACATGGTGTCATTCTTCATCGTTTTGCTACCACGTCGAATCAACTGATTGCGTCTTGTAACTTTCATTTTGGGTGAGTGTGTGCTTGGTAAATGAAGTTGCATTTTCCCGAAACGTGGAAAATTGGTATCTTCCAATATGTAACTTCCGGTCCAGTTGAATTTTGGAGGGGCGTCCACAATGTCAGATTGCATTTAGAAGGTAAAATCTTCCTAAATGTATGATTTTCTTTGAAGATGCAATTTCTTGAGATGAGCCCGTCACACAAAATGTCATTTACTTGGAAGGTCCCCCAAGTATGGTGTTTGTTCCCTGTGTGAAAACAAGAAAAAAAGGCAACATTTAAAACAAGGTTGATGGCGGCGTTTCCAAACAACCCAAATGTGGATGGGTGAGGGGCAAGAAAATGTACCTTACAATTTGCCAGCCCCCGCATCCCCATGTCCATGGTCACAACATACCTAGCCTATTCCAGTTTTGGGATGCACAACAAGGATGCACAACAGTGTGGACTCCATCAACGTGGTGTCTCAACACGAAACATGTCATGGGGTGGGATGAAAACGCGAATCCCTTATCCGGGCAATCCAAGCGCCTTGAAAACCAATTGTTCATTTTGTTTCAACATTTTGCTGGTTATACTACGCTATACTATGTTGACGGTCAACAGGTCGAATCAATAGGCACTTCACCATGGTGTATCATCTATGACGGCCACCACGGTCCCAGTGCTTTGAAAACCCATTGAAAACTAATGTTGGTTTACTATTCGGGGGTTGATTTTTTTTCCACTGACGGTCAGCAGTTATTCCTCGGATCATCTACGCACAACGCCCAGGTGCAACGGCAGCTTCGGCCCCTCAGCAAAGCCACAAAGACCTCGGTGTTTTTTCTAGCGCCGACACGACTGTGGTGCTTAGGGCAAGGAATACGGGGATGCACCAGGTATAGTTCAGGCAAGAAAATGTGATGTGCCAGAATCAACGAACGGCACAGTGTGGGAACATGTTTGGAGCACCAATCCTCTGCGAAGCAAACAAATATAACAAGTAGGGTGAGAGCAACGGGTATACAATTCCCTATCAATGACGGGATGACCATTCCCCTTAAGGGGAAAACAGTCCATGTCTTGACCATCGCACATATAACAATCAACAACAACAAGAAAGGCAATTGTTAAAAGGTTGGGTATATGTGGCGGTGAAATGTAGTTAATGTAGTTCTGCAGTAACGTAGATCCCCATGTTTGATGGTTTCATCCTCATGTTTGGTGGTCAACCAATGAATGATACAAACTTCCAAATACTTTTGATGGGTAATGTTTTCTCATGTGTTTATCGTTCAACTCCAATTAGTATCCAGAATGTTTGATAACATCATGGGTCAGACTAGTAATACGATATATGTGATCCATGATGGTTGATCTTCGTCATGGCTCCAGAACGGCTGCCAAGAGGCTGGGCGCAGGAGGCCCATCACCTGGCGGTGGCCCTCCTCCTTGGCCCAGTCGTAAGGCGTTTGGCCTAAGGCGCGGCGGCGGCGTTTGGGCGTGGGAACTCGGAAAGTCTTGCGGATGTGGACAGATCAATCAAGATAAATCCTTTTTCTCAGGTTAAAAAATAACACTCAGTGCATCTGCCATGCCGAGTTTTTAATTTCTGGTCAAGTCTGGCAAATCAATGCTCATGGCTGTGATGTGAAGGATCCGATATGTCTCCATTTTTCAAACTCTGAACACATATCTGCAACAAATCTAAGAAATCATTACATTCCACCAACTTGCCGTCTTTTCTGACAGGATGTCTCTGCTCATAGTTCATGCCATACAACCGTTATCAACCGTTTCAAGTTTTTCAAAGGACAGATGTGGGATCCAGCTCAAAGTGATCAAAAGTTCCAAATCCAGTGAACATTTGCGACCACGTGCCTTCCACTCATGTCCCCCATGTTTGGATATGTTTCGTCATTTCTTACACCCGAATTTCAAGAGGCCCATCCCAGCACAAAAGTGGATCTTTTAACAGCAAGTACCACTCAATATCCCAAAGCAAAAGCACAAAAATCAGCTGCCAATGTGACAAACCCCTTCCATCGTCAGTACGAACCCCTTCCGTCACCTCGTCAGAGCCACTCCCAAAACGACCCGGAAACCCTTCCAGGGCCACGGCCGTTTTTGCTGGCCGCGTCCACCGTGGCCCCCGCAGAGATCAGCTGCTCGACCACGGCGGCGTGGCCTATCAGAGCCGCCCGATGCAGCGCCGTATGGCCTCGGGCGCCGAGGATGCGACGCGGAAAGCGGGGCTGCTGCATTGGGCAAAATGTGGATAGATCATGATAGATCATAAATAGAAGGTCTGCCAATGTACGAACCCCTTCCGTCACCTCGTCAGAGCCACTCCCAAAACGACTCGAAAACCCTTCCGGGGCCACGGCCGGCGTTGTCGACCGCGTGCACCGTGGCCCCCGCAGAGATCAGCTGCTCGACCACGGCGGCGTGGCCTTTCCGAGCCGCAAAATGCAGCGCCGTCCAGCCTAGGGCGCCGAGGATGCGAGGCGGAAGGAGCAGCAGCTGCGACTGCCGTGGAGAGACAAAGCGTATAGTCATGGGATATTTCTCCAGGTGGTTGGGCAAAATTCTGTAATATAGGTCATAAATATATTATATATATATATACCCAGAGAGTCCCACGTCTATTCTTTGCCATGGATTTTATGTAAATCCTATTCTTTGCCCCGACCACGCCGACCACGGGCCGACCACGCTGACCACGCTCTCACTCCATTTGGACCTTCCCTGTGTTGCCAACATCGGTTAACTGTACTAGCTTTAACACCCAAGCAAGATCTGAATAGATTTCCGACATGTAAAATCAGATTGGATTCTTATAATTTGATCCACGTGGTAATAATGACATCAAGTGTGATTTCTTGCAACACTTCTAACCCCAAGAGACATGCAGTGCGATGTGGGTGCGACCAGCACAGGAATAAGTAATTAGTCCATCCACTATGGACATCACAAGGTCACCCCAAAAATGGTTCAACAAATGGTGACAGACCCAAACATCATGTTTTTAAATGTTTTTCACAAATTCAAACCAACATTTTCTGAGCGTACATGATTTTGACTAATTTTTGGGTTCGTGGGACCACGGCAAAGTTTGGATTTTCCACGGCAAAGTTTAGGTTTTCCACGGCAAAGTTTAGGATTTCCACGCGTGGACCACGCTGGGACCACGCACCCTATAGTTGTGTTTTTGTTTCTTTCGGTTGTGCTCCAAATGTTTCCAATTTGTCACAGGCCGTTTGGCCAAAAGTAGTTTTGACTATTGGCATTACGCCAATACACAGGGTATGAACTCAGCCTTTTTTTGTTAATTGTCATAACAAAATGCATCTCTTAGCAGGACCCCCATGTGTGTCAAAAAAATGGCAGCAGCAGTGGGTGGCAGGGGCGCAAAGACAATGAAGCAACGTTGTAAGTTTAAATAATCATGGCATATCATGGCAACCCTTCAGAATCACGATCGGATTTGATATCATGTCATCTATTCCTAGCGAAGGGCCTTTGAATAGCAACATTTACGTTTTGAATGGTTGAATCACTCCCACCTCAGCCCCTGGAGGTGGCAAAGTTCGGTCGGTAACGGCAAAGTTTACGCTAACCCTTAGGTCTATTCTTTGCCCATACCTTGACTCCCAGGGTATATATATAAATCAGATCTGCCAAGCTGATACTTTTTGTGTCTTTTAGTGTGAGGCATGGCGAAAAACAAGAGGAGCAATCATCGCAAATATGTTCTTGCTCTATCGTGTTGTTTAAATCTTACCAGCAGTTGCACCTGACTTTCTCAACATCATGTGTCACGTGTTTAGAAACTATTTCATGAATACCTTTGGACTATCCAAATGCAGATAAACCGTTTTCTGAAGTTACAGTAAGAAATAATTCACGGCTTACCAAACTGAACAAAATAGAGTACATTAATCTCATGACAGGAAACTTTAATGTTTTTTTATTTAAACATATGATGCTTGTGTGCTTCGGAAATATCCAATGGTATTGACCCAGGTGCCCAAGCCAATGGCACTCATGCCATCTGTATCCATTTGTCATGCTGAGTTTTCAATGTTTCGTCGCGTCAAGTCTGGGACAATCAATGCCTCACAGCTGTTCTTTCAAGGATCCCATGTGTTTTCCATTTTCAAACTCAGGATACATGCCTGCAACAAAAATAAAATCACTACATTCTACCGCTGGCATCCTGTCTGACAGCATGTCTCTGCTGTCAAAATTTGTTCCATACGGCGATCGCAATTTCAAAGACAGATGTGGGATCAAGCTCAAAATCATCAAAAAAACAAATCCAGTGAACACTTTGAGACCACGTGATTCCTTCTGCTTTCTATTCGTTTCATCTCATTTCTTTTAACCCGAATTTCAAGAGGCCCATCCCAGCACAAAAGTGGATCCTTAAACAACAAGTACGAGTACCACTCAACATCCCAAAGCAAAGAACGAAAATCACCTGCCAATGTACGAGCCCCTTCCATCACCTCAGCAGAGCCACTCCCAAAACGACCCGAAAACCCTTCCGGGGCCACGGGCCGTACTTGTCGGCCGCGTCCACCTGGGCCCCCGCAAAGATCAGCTGCTCGACCACGGCGCCACGGCCGTCCCGAGCCGCCCAATGCAGCGCCGTCTCGCCTCGGGCGCCGAGGATGCGACGCGGAAGGCGGGGCTGCTGCAGCTGCCGTCGAGAAACAAAGCGTATAGTCATGGAATGTTTCTCCGTTGTTGGGCAAATATTTTTGGATAGGTCATAGATAGAAGATCTGCCAAGCTGATACTTTTTGTATCTTTTAGTGTGAGGCATGGCGAAAAAGAAGAGGAGCAATCATCGCAAATATGTTCTTGCTCTATCGTGTTGTTTAAATCTTACCAGCAGTTGCACCTGACTTTCTCAACATCAAGTGTCGCCTGTTTAGAAACTATTTCATGAATACCTTTGGACTATCCAAATGCGGATAAACAGTTTTCTCAAGTTAAGAAATAAGATTTTTTAGGGATTACCAAAACTGAACAAAATGGAGTACATTAATCTCATGATGACAGGAAATTTCGATGAATTTTGATTTAAAAATATGATGCTTGCGTGCCTTGGACACCTAAATATCCAGTGGGATTGACCCAGGTGCCCAAGCTCATGGCACTCACGCCATTTGTATCCATTTGTCATGCTGAATTTTCAATGTTTGGTCGCGTCAAGTCTGGGGCAATCAATGCCTCACAGCTGTTCTTTCAAGGATCCCATGTGTTTTCCATTTTCAAACTCAGGATACATGCCTGCAATAAAAATAAAATCACTACATTCTAGCGCTGGCAGTGAAAATATCTGACAGTTCTGCTGTCAAAATTTGTTCCATACGGCGATCACAATTTCAAAGACAAATGTGGGATCAAGCACAAAATCATCAAAAAAACAAATCCAGTGAACACTTTGAGACCACGTGATTCCTTCTGCTTTCTACTCGTTTCATCTCATTTCTTTTAACCCGAATTTCAAGAGGCCCGGCCCATCCCATCACAAAAGTGGAACCTTAAACAACAAGTACGGATACCACTCAACATCCCAAAGCAAAGAACCCCTTCCATCACCTCGTCAGAGCCACTCCCAAAACGACCCGGAAACCCTTCCAGGGCCACGGCCGTTGTTGTCGCCCGCGTCCACCGTGGCCCCCGCAGAGATCAGCTGCTCGACCACGGCGGCCTGGCCTCCCAGAGCCGCCCGATGCAGCGCCGTATGGCCTCGGGCGCCGAGGATGCGACGCGGAAAGCGGGGCTGCTGCATTGGGCAAAATGTGGATAGATCATGATAGATCATAAATAGAAGGTCTGCCAAGCTGAGGCATGGCGAAAAAGAAGCGCAATGATCGCAAATATGCTCTATCGTGTTGTTTTAATCTTAGCAGCAGTTGCACCTGACTTTCTCCACATCATGTGTCACGTGTTTAGAAACTATTTCATGAATAACTTTGGACTATCCAAGTGCAGTGAAATCAGGACATGTCTGACAAGGCAATGCCAGGAGAAACGCAAGAGCTGTGAGGTGGGAAGGTGCGGGGTTGAAACACAATGCGAGGTGCGGCTTGGTGGCAGGCATGAAAGTCATTGGACAAGTATTTCTGCCAAGGGAAACTTACACTGTCCACTGTGAAAAGGAAGGTTTGTGCGGGGTTGAAACCTATCTGATTGGTACAGGTCTGAAGACAAAGGTATTTGGAGTCTATTGTGCTAGACTTGAGAGTCCGAACACATCCATCAATATCAGCTTTCACTCAGAAGGATTGAAACCCACCGACGTTGTTTTTTAACATCACATCTTCAGGCCCTTATCCCTGATCCATACTGACTGATCAATCATCCTTCATTGTGCTATGTCATTGCTATGCGGACAGAGATGATATTAAGAAAGTTAGAGAGATCTGACCGACAAACCTGCTTTGGCACTTTCATCGAAGAAGACACAAGACAACAAGACAAGCAACTCATCGAATCATACTTGTCACTGATGCCTATACCAGAAGCATCATGTCATGCAGAGACAGGAAAAGGATCCACTTGGACAAATGTTGAAGGCAAGTAAAAGGCATCCGCTCTCCTCCGTGGCTGCGACAGCTCTGGGTCTGCGACCGAGAGGGCTCTTCACCTCCACGGAGGCGCCGGACTTCAGCAGCAGCGCGACCACCTCATCGCGGCCCTCCTGCGCTGCCAGGTGCAGTGGCGTTCCGCCTCGGAGAGGCGGCCACGAGGCTCGCCCCACGGGTCAAGGCGTGAGCGGACGAGACTTGGAAAACTCGCAAGCTGCGCAAGCTGCGCATCCCTAAAATCTCATAGTCCAATACAAACATTGCACGCCATCTGTCAAAAGAATGCCAAGACAAATACAAGGAGAGGAGGGGAGTGTTGCCAATGAAGAAACAGTGACTAGGGGTTGGGAAGGATTGTGTCCCAGTGAGCTCAGAAACCCTTTTTCAAGTTGTTGCGGACGCTGGATGACTACAAATGCCAACACCACCCGAAAACTAGAGCTCATCATGGCACAAATGTATCCTGTTTTGATTTGACAGCCTAGAAATCTGAAAACTGCAATTGGATGAAATTCTGCTTTTGTTCTTCAACATTCAAGTGCATGATTGTGGACGAGTTGGACCAGTTGCCTGTGTGCCAAAAGCACTCACACAAGGCTTGGGATTTTTGAATTGAATACTTGAAGACAAGCTTGAAGAACAGAGTTCCACAGCATGTGGCAGAAGATTGTGTGGGATTAGATGGGATTGGCACTTCTGTTGGTGGCCGGCCAAGTCGATTCTGTGCGAGGGATGGCTTAACCATCAAACACCATCTGGCAAAACAAAGACAAGCAACGTAACCACACAAGACTGTCTACAGTCCAGAACCTGGTTCATACCTGGATCTTCACTTAGCACTTTTTTTTCTGCTCATAGCAGTTTTCGTTTGGATTTACGCTCGCTCTGACTTTTTATGCTCACTTGAACTAGAAAACGCGCATTTGTTTCTTGACGGACGGGCATTTACGTTTTTTTCCCGGGTATTTACGCTTATTTCCCGGCAAAATACGCTTACAATTTTGGCTTCAAAATGCACAAAGTGCAAAAATGCCAAAAGTGGTGCAATTACGCTCATGTGGAGAAAAACCGCTCAAAAAGCAGAAATCTCTCAAATGAGGATTTATTTGTGCTTTTTCGAGGATGCAGGTATACACGAATCGAGGGTAGCAAAATGAAACTATTTCATGAATACCTTTGGACTATCCAAATGCGGATAAACAGTTTTCTCAAGTTAAGAAATAAGATTTTTTAGGGATTACCAAAACTGAACAAAATGGAGTACATTAATCTCATGATGACAGGAAATTTCGATGAATTTTGATTTAAAAATATGATGCTTGCGCGCCTTGGACACCTAAATATCCAGTGGGATTGACCCAGGTGCCCAAGCTCATGGCACTCACGCCATTTGTATCCATTTGTCATGCTGAATTTTCAATGTTTGGTCGCGTCATGTCTGGGGCAATCAATGCCTCACAGCTGTTCTTTCAAGGATCCCATGTGTTTTCCATTTTCAAACTCAGGATACATGCCTGCAATAAAAATATAAGCCGACGTAGATCCCCAACAGCGGTTGGTTTCAAACAGTGGTCCAACTTTGCAACCCAAGACGGATTAATGATGGCAGGAACAGGATTCCATAGCCTAAGTCTCTTCGGCGATTTTTTGCCCGCCCTGCCCCGTCCCCTTTTGGACCAAAGGCAAGATGAGACATGTTCTTTAAGAAAGCGCGCATAATTGAATTTACATACATTTGGTTACAAACGAATGGCAGTATTTGCAGACCACGGTGTGTCATTAAGTGTTTACAAAATTGTGTGTGTGTGCTGGTTTGGGATTATCTTGTCGTGCTTGGACAACGTCGGTCAGTTTGCGCAAGTGATTGGTGAAACAGTTGGTTTTGGCCAAATTGTCCATCATGATTCCAGAATTAGTTTCATGTCAATACTTGGTTGTTGTGTCACAACTGTGTCTGAAGTTTCATTGTGTGTTGCTGTTTGGTCACTTAGCTTTAAAAAAATCATCTACCTGGCTTCGAGAAGCCTCACACAGGTTTGCTGCCAATATTTAGGTGTTCCAAGGCATCGAACTTAATTGCTTGATGTGGCATGTGCTTTGGTAGATGCGACATCGGAACAGTTCAAACAGAAGATTTTACAGCAACATCAGAACAGGTCAGTCGACCGACGCTGTGCGCCCACTGAGCAAACGAACATGAATCGGCATGTGCGGAACCCGCCACAAAGCACCCAAGATTGGCTGGGGGATTTCCGGAATCCCTTGTGTTCCTGGAACCTTGTCTTCCTGGAACCCTCGTTTCCGGAACCTTGGCACAACCCACAGCGTATATTGGAACCCTGGGTTTGCGGAACCGAGACGCGCTGATTTATTGTCACGCTGTGCCCCCCCCTGTCAGCGATTGCTCGTTGACAGGGCCTATATGGTCCTGGAACCTTGGTTTCCTTGAAAATTGGTTTTCTGGGACCCTGTCCGTAGCATGAACCTTGGTACAACCCACGGCGTATATCCGACCCCTGGGTTGTTTCCGGAACCTCGGAACCTTGCCAGAACCCTGGTTCTCTGGAACCTGGGCTGGGCTTCTTGAAAATTGTTGTTCCGCAACCTTGTCCCTGTCCGGAACCTGTGGCATAATCCAGGAAGTATATCCAAACTGTGGGTCCGCATCCGCGGTGGTTCTCGGAACCTTGTCGGAACCCAGTGTTGCTGGAACCTTGCCGGAACCCTCGTTCCCCAAACTCTGGGTTTCCAGGATGTTTCAAAATTGGTGTTCCGGTGATTCCAGAACCGCTCGAAACCATGGTAAGGTTCCCGGAACCTTGTCGAAAGCCAAGTGTGCCCGGAACCTTCCTGGCGCCGAGAACCTGGGGATCCCGGAACCTTGACGTCCCGGAACCCAAAAGGTAGCCAGAACCCATTGTTCCCAGAACCTTGCTTGAAAGTCTGGTTTGCGGAACCTGGAACCTTGCCCCGAACCCTGGTTCCCGGAACCCTGAGTTCCGGAACCTTGCCCGGAACCCTGGTTCCCGGAACCGGCAGCGGTTGGTTTCAAACAGTGGTCCAACTTTGCAACCCAAGACGGATTAATGATGGCAGGAACAGGATTCCATAGCCTAAGTCTCTTCGGCGATTTTTTGCCCGCCTTGCCCCCTCCCCTTTTGGACCAAAGGCAGGATGAGACATGTTCTTTAAGAAAGCGCGCATAGTTGAATTTACATACATTTGGTTACAAACGAATGGCAGTATTTGCAGACCACGGTGTGTCATTAAGTGTTTACAAAATTGTGTGTGTGTGTGGTTTGGGATTATCTTGTCGTGCTTGGACAACATCGGTCAGTTTGCGCAAGTGATTGGTGAAACAGTTGGTTTTGGCCAAATTGTCCATCATGATTCCAGAATTAGTTTCATGTCAATACTTGGTTGTTGTGTCACAACTGTGTCTGAAGTTTCATTGTGTGTTGCTGTTTGGTCACTTAGCTTCAAAAAATCATCTACCTGGCTTCGAGAAGCCTCACACAGGTTTGCTGCCAATATTTAGGTGTTCCAAGGCATCGAACTTAATTGCTTGATGTGGCATGTGCTTTGGTAGATGCGACATCGGAACAGTTCAAACAGAAGATTTTACAGCAACATCAGAACAGGTCAGTCGACCGACGCTGTGCGCCCACTGAGCAAACGAACATGAATTCGGAATTCAGTGAGGGGCCACAAAGCACCCAAGATTGGCTGGGGGATTTCCGGAATCCCTTGTGTTCCTGGAACCTTGTGTCCCTGGAACCTTGTCTTCCTGGAACCCTCGTTTCCGGAACCTTGGCGCAACCCACAGCGTATATTGGAACCCTGGGTTTCCGGAACCGAGACGCGCTGATTTATTGTCACGCTGTCCCCCCCCCTGTCAGCGATTGCTCGTTGACCGGGCCCTTTTGGTCCTGGAACCTTGGTTTCCTTGCAAATTGGTTTTCTGGGACCCTGTCCGTAGCATGAACCTTGGTACAACCCACGGCGTATATCCGACCCCTGGGTTGTTTCCGGAACCTCGGAACCTTGCCAGAACTCTGACCTTGTCCCTGTCCGGAACCTGTGGCATAATCCAGGAAGTATATCCAAACTGTGGGTCCGCATCTGTGGTGGTTCTCGGAACCTTGTCGGAACCCAGTGTTGCTGGAACCTTGCCAGAATCCTGGTTCCCCAAACTCTGGGTTTGCAGGATGTCTCAAAATTGGTGTTCCGGTGATTCCAGAACTTTGGCACAATCCAGGCTCTGGCTGCTCGAAACCATGGTAAGGTTCCCGGAACCTTGTCGAAAGCCAAGTGTGCCCGGAACCTTCCCGGAACCTTGACGTCCCGGAACCCAAAAGGTAGCCAGAACCCATTGTTCCCAGAACCTTGCTTGAAAGTCTGGTTTGCGGAACCTTGGGTTCCTGGAACCTTGCCCCGAACCCTGGTTCCCGGAACCCTGGGTTCCCGGAACCTTGCCCCGAACCCTGGTTCCCGGAACCGGTTCTCGGAACCCTGGTTCCCGGAACCGGCGAAACGAGGCGGCAGGGTCGAGCAGTGCCCCGGAGCACCCCGAAGGCTATGTGGGCTGAGACCCCAAAGCATTCTGCTGTTGGGGAAAAATCACTACATTCTACCGCTGGCAGTGAAAATATCTGACAGTTCTGCTGTCAAAATTTGTTCCATACGGCGATCACAATTTCAAAGACAAATGTGGGATCAAGCTCAAAATTATTGTAAAGAAACAGTGAACACTTTGAGACCACGTGATTCCTTCTGCTTTCTACTCGTTTCATCTCATTCCTTCTACCCGAATTTCAAGAGGCCCATCCCAGCACAAAAGTGGATCCTTAAACAACAAGTACCACTCAACATCCCAAAGCACAGCACGAAAATCACCTGCCAATGTACGAACCCCTTCCATCACCTCGTCAGAGCCACTCCCAAAACGACCCGAAAACCCTTCCGGGGCCACGGCCGTCGTTGTCGGCCGCGTCCACCGTGGCCCCCGCAGAGATCAGCTGCTCGACCACGGCAGCATGGCCTTCGTGAGCCGCACAATGCAGCGCCGTCCAGCCTCGGGCGCCGAGGATGCGACGCGGAAGATGTCTACAGTATAGAAAATATTTCATGATTTCATGAATAACTTTGGACTATCCAAGTGCAGCGAAATCAGGACATGTCTGACAAAAGAATGCCAGGAGAAACGCAAGAGCTGTGAGGTGGGAAGGTGCGGGGTTGAAACACAGAGCGAGGTGCGGCTT